GTAAACAATCCTTGTCCAGCAACACTGTAAATGAGGCGAGGCGGGGCTGCCTGTCAGGAAGTAACAGAATGGCCAGTAGTCTGAAAGGGACCTTGGCACTCATCTAGCTGAAGCAGGCCCCTGATTCCAGTTTTCCTGTTCTTTCATCTCTAACCCATCACCTCTCTGAACACCAGAGGGTCCCCAAGGCGGCCAGCTTGGTCCTTCCCATCGGGAGAGAATCGCCATCATTGGTTCTTCCTATATCAGCCCGTCCTCCTCCCCTCTGCCAACCCCCAAATTGTCCTAGCAAGCAGGAACTACGCCAGCAGGAAGTGTGCCCAGCAGCCTGGCCTTGGGGGCTGGGTGTCATGGCAGCTTCGGAGACCCTGACCGAGACAGTCACCACCGGTGTGCATGGTGGATGCAGGAGGAATCTCCAGAGGACCTTGCTTTCCCTCGCTCTCGCAGATGTCCAATGAGAGAGCATTATTAGAAGCAGCACCCACAGATTGCAAGCCCCCTGGGAACCCAGCATGAGTAGTTTCTTTGTAGCAGTTATGCCTTAAAGCGACAGAGTTTGGAACAGCAGCTTGCGGTGTGGTCTTAACTATTTCTTTGGCATTCCTTTGAATGTTGGTTGCACGCTCCTGTTGCCATGTTCCCCTCCAAGACTGGGGAGACAGAGAGGAAAAAGTTGTTCAAGGTCATTATATACTAATCATTATCATTCAGTTAGATGAGTGTAAAGTTAATAAGTTAATATATATATATTAGATTTATTTAGTTATGCATAAAGAACTGGGGTACAAGCCAGAGGTGTGGTGGGTGAGAGGATTCACCAGAGACAGAGTTGGGAGCAGAACAGACAGAGCGACTAAGTACACTGCTGAGGGGAGCAGGGAGCAGTGGGCGAGACAGGAGAGGCCTGCTGTGCCATGTGGGTCACCACCGGGGCGGGGGATCGAACTCTCACTGAAGCAGCTGCACTAGCTTACAGTGCTGTGTCCTAACCCGTTGTGCCACCAGGGGAGGGCCCTGATAAGCTATGTTTATGGAGCAGTGTTGCACGTTTAGAAACTCATGTCATTCTCATTACAACTTGTGCGGCAAGTATGATCACCCCTGTTTTACAGATGGGAATGTGGAGGTTTGGAGGGCGCACGGCTGAGTAGTGCCCGCAGGGCTCGTAGTGAAGGTGGGCAGCGCTGGGCGGGCACCACGCTCGGGAAGCAGAGTCAGTGCAGAAACCATTGCGGGCACCCACTCTGCCCGGGAGGGTTCGGCTCCCCGGCTCCCCCGCCTCTCTTTACCTGGCTGCGGAAGTGAGCACTCTGAGCCCACGGTGGAGGCAGTGAAAAAGGGGGCCCTGCTTCCGGTGCTCTCTCCAGCCAGGTGGAGACGGTGCTCCCAGCTCTGTCCTAGCAGAACCTGGAGCCTGGGTTCCTTCCTCCCCTAGGAAAAGTTCAAACAGAATAAATCCCCCTCGGGTCCTTGGCTCTGGGCAGATTGCCATGGGGGGAGGGTCTCCCAATACACGCGGAGTTTCGGGTCTTGCTGTTCTGTGCCTCGTTCCCCCAGCATCTTCACTCTTATCAAACCTGTTTCTTGTCTCCATGGTGACACCGCCTCACCCAGCTTCCCTGGGTGGTCCGGTTGCTTCACAGGGTAAAGCTCTGAGAACATTTTCCTAATGTGCAGCCAGAAACTTCCACTTCCCATGCCCAGGGCTGCCCCTTACTGCCCCTCCTTTCCCTGCAGGCCAGCCTGCCCCCACCGACTCCCTCCTGCCCCCACCCCCCGCGCTGGGTCCTCTGGCTGACACATGGCCTGTCCGGCCTCCGAGGGGGTTGCAGACCAGCTACACCACCCTTGCTGTTCAGTTGGGGGCAGCAGTTTGCAGGGCCCACAGTGAAATGAAAATGGGTCCCAAACCCATGTGGGACCTCACAGTGACAATGGCAGGGGGCAGTCGCGTGTGGCCCTGTCACAGGTCATGTGTCATGAAGCCAGTCCCAGGAATGGGTATTGTGCCATGTATGTGTGTATTTGTTGTGGTCACAGACTTAATGTCCAAGCATCAGGTTTTCAATTTGGCCATAAGAGGGACCCCAAAACAGCATCACGCTGCTCCCTTACCTTTTCCTGGGACCAGGGGAGAGACCGGAGGGGAGATGGAGGCCAGGAGAAGGTCACGCAGACGAAAAAGCTTCTCCAGTCACAGGGAGAGACTTGAGTCAGGCTTTTCCTTCCTCCTGCAGTTTCTGCCTTTACAATCAAGGGGTGCTTTAAAGACGTGTGACTTCTGACAGCTCAGTGCTCCAAAGTGCATGTGACAGGTGGACACGTGCACCCTCGTGTGTGACACATGTGTGCCCAGCACCCCCCAAGACAAGCCCATTACCCCAAGAGCTCATTTATCTTGACATAGGCCCCCTGCCTTGTGAATACTCATGTTAAGCAAATGCAACCACAGCTAAATTCCAAGCGCCCCAGGAATCAGAGTGCCCCCTGTTCCCCCCTTCACCCGAGCGGCTCTCTGCAGTGCTCTTGGCCTGCTGACCTCCTAGGCAGGTCCAATCTCAGAACCACCAACTTTCCAGGACAACTGTGTCCAGGGTTTCTGCACGGCGGTGACGTCCTGCGGGTGACTGCCCAGGCCTGCCCACCCTCCCCCGACCCAGCACCTCTTGCCAGGGCCCTTAGTTGTTCTCAGACCTGTGGCATCAGCTCAGGAAATCTCAGCTTTGAAATCTCCACACCCCTCCCTCTTCCAGCTCTCAGCATTCCTCTCCCTTCCCCTCTTCTTGGTACCAGCCTCACCCCTTTTCCTTTTGTGAGAGGGCCAGGCCTGAATGGGCCCCCCTTATCCCGGCACCCCCTCACTAAACACTGCAGCTGGTCTGTTGTCTTGGGGCAGGATGTGGGGGCGGGCTGGGGAGTACAGGCCCCCTTCATCCCAGGGTAGAATAATGAGGCTGCTAGTCAGGGTGGTGGGGTGAGGGAGGGGGCCATGGAGCCACATCAGAGACTCTGAGGTGCGGCCCCTGGGGGGACAGCTGAGTGATGAGGCCTGAGTCACACGCCCCGCGTGCTCCTTGAACTCCCGCTCCCGCTCCTGTGGAGACACGTCCAGAAATGCACAGGGTAAATATTTAGAGGTAATCGTTTTTGTTTTTTTTTTCCTTTGTGGCACCTCCTGCTTCCCCACCTGGCTGAGGATGAGCCAGGCCCAGGACTCGAGGGGGAGGAGTCTTGTCAGACCTTGGCCACCAGCCTGGGCTTTGTGGCCATTGCTGACCTCTACCCTGTCACTGTCCAGTGTACCCCAATGTCCTCATGTTTCCGCTGGAGCTCCAGGCTACGGGACCGTGCAAATATCTGAGACACAAAATGACTTCAAGCTCCTCAGTGAATGCTCCTAACCTTGGCCATCCTGGCTGGAGCCCCCTCCTGCCGACCCGCTTTCTAGCTGGGGCAGCCCGGGGATGACTCCCCTGTTTCCACATGCAAAGGAGGGAGCCCTGGACAAAAACCTTCTTGGGTTCCGCAGGCCGGTTCTTTGGCTGGACACTGTCGTTCCTCAGAGGACATGGCGTCGGAGTCCCGGCTTTATCAAAGATAAAATATTTGAGACTAAACAGTCTTTTTATAGATTGGAACTGGGCTCCCAAGCAGCTTGCCCGTCTGGGTACACACAGAACACACGCTCATTTCTCAGGGGAAGCAGAGACACAGAGGTTTGAGGCGGAAGCCGTGGAAAGGCCTGGGGCGGGGCTGGGCAGTGGGGTGCTCTGGTCTGGACGGACCTCTGTACCCCTGGGGCTGGGGGTGCTGGCAGAGGTGAGAAGCAGCTGTTAGGGGTTTGAACAAGGACGGAGCACACAGCCTCGACTCCAGTGCTCACCAGGCACAAACAGCAGAAAAGGCTGATGTAGGGTGGGGCCCCAAAATGAAGGCACAGAAGCCTCCCCACCTCTTCTCAGGGATGCTGGGCTGGACGCTGGCCTGAGGGTTGCTGAGGGACTGGTGGCAAGAAGAGATCAAATACTCCCTGTGTTGGGGCTGTGAGCTGGGCAGTGTGGACGCCCTGGCTCTTTTAATCCCACAAATTTGCATTTAATTATTTTTATGCGTGAGGAAACCCAGGGACACAGTGGTTAAGAGGTCTGATAGGTAAAGAGAGGAGGGTGGGTCGACCTTAGGCCCTCAGACTCCAAAGCTCGATGCTCTCTCTTCTTTGTTTCCTCCACTGTGACCTGGAGAAGCCAGTGGACACTACCTCACAGTTGCTGTGAGAATCAAGTGGGTCTGTTTGGTAAAGGTTAGCCAGCACCTGACACACAGATGTTATTCCTGTGGGTAGAGGTCAGTGACACAGAAGCTACTCATGTGGCCTGTTGGTGATACAGGGAAGTGGGAAAATCCAAGGTATGAACCGCGCAGGGCGCAGACCCTGCCACCCCGCCTCTTGGGAACACGGGCAGATGCTGCATCTTCCTGTGGAGAGAAGTGGAAAGCGTGGAGGGACTGGCGGACACCTCCAAGGGCAGGAAGGCCCACAGGCTCGGGGCTGACTGCCGTACGAGCCTGCTCCACCCATCAGCATGGCTCGGCATGCCAGGCCTCAGTTTCCCGGTAAAGGTGTAGGCAGTATTATCTGTACTGTGAAGCCCCTCCCTTCCTGCTCTGACATTCTGAGTTTTTCTCTAGCTCCTCCCTTTACAGCAAGGTCAACTTTCTTCACTGTCACAATCAGAGCCATTGTGGGGGGCGCAGAGAAAGGCAGAGGGGGTGATGAGGGACTGCAGAGAGAGGGCACACACAGGGCCGCGGAAGGCCCAGCTCCCTGTCTGCTGCTCCCTTGTAGACAATGCAGCTGAGGTGGCCAGGCTGGCATCTTATGTGTGGGGGTGCCATGGGGTCCCCTGGGGCCCTCTGTGGGCCTTTGGAGCTGGATTGGATATGCCAGTGGGACAGGTGGACACCCACAGAGCCCTCCCCATTTTCTCCCCACACAGAGACCTGAGCATGAACAACCTCACAGAACTGGAACCTGGCCTCTTCCACCACCTGCGCTTCTTGGAGGAGCTGTGAGTAGACACTTGGGGGGATGGCAGGTGACCCCCCCATAGGAACCAGGGCTACCCAAGAGCAGGGGTGGAGCTCAAAAGGAAGGGGTTCAGGACTGGATTTTTAAAATGTGGTACATATACATAATGGAATATTACTCAGTGATCAAAAAAGACAAACTCATGCCTTTTGCAGCAACATGGATGGAGCCAGAAGGGATCATGCTTAGTGAGATAAGCCAGAAAGAAAAAGAAAAAGAAAAAGAAAAAGAAAAAGAAAAAGAAAAATACCAGATGGTTTCACTCACAGCAGGAGCATAAAGGACCAGGGGGAAAAACAATAATAATGAACAACTATATACCAGAGACACTTTATGGAAGTGGAGTGGGGAATGGGATCAAAAATAGGGAGGGAGGGAAGTGCACTGGACTGTGGTGATGGTGCACGGGTGATCTGGTGATGGGAAACCCACGGGGATTACAACTGAGATGGAAAAAGGCACAAAATGATGTAAAAAAAAAAAACTATTATAAGAAAGAAAGAAGGGGTTTGGGAAGCGAGGCTGTTCTTGAGTGCTGGGCACCAGTTCACACCTGGCCCAAATGTGTGGTCACCTCTGAGGTGGCAGCGGGGGCCACAGGGCCACGCAGTCTAGGGACTCGCAAGACCAGCTTCTTCCCTCCCTGAAACCAGCTCTGCCTGGCAGCTTTTGGTCTCTGGATGAGAGCAGCAACTCTGCCTGGGGACACCTTTGACCTGTTCTCATCCCCGTGTCGGGCGCCATCGGCTCCCCCAGACCTGGTGGTCCTTTCTGTGGAGTGTCTCTCACCTCCTGCCTTTGTTTTCCACTCCCTTCGCCTTAGTTGTCCCCTTGCATCTGGGTGCTGTGCCAGCCCGAGCTGACAAATGTCCTGTGCGTCCTTTCCGACATACTTCATCATCTCGGTGTGGTTCTCCTGCTCGAGAGCCTTCTCTGGCTCCCTATAACCCAAAACATTCGCTTCTAAGACCTTCGCTCACCTGGCCTAAGCCCACCTGGCTGACTTAGCTTCAGTGAGGCCAGCCTCTGTCACCTCCCCAGGATCCCCCCCATCCGATATGCCCACAGCTTTCTCCTCACAAGCCACCTAACTCTGGATCAGTGCCAAGCACAAGGCCTTCTTCTTCCAGAGTCCTCCTGTGGGAGGGAATTCCCGCATGGTCGCGCTCAACCCCAAATCCTAAAATCTGCCTCATCTGCGCACTTACCACTCACCATGTCACTGGCCTGTCTGCTCTGGGGGTCCAGGCACTCGGCCCCCAACCGTTCCCTTCCTAAGCCTATTCCCAACCCTTCCAGCCTGCGTCTTCTTGCTCTTATACCATCATGCATCTTTGGGCTCCATAGCTCGGCTTAAGTGGTGCCAGCACTGGGTTCTTGGCCCTGAAAACAATCCCAGCTTCATCTCCACTTTGGTCCCACGCCTCTCCTCTGTCTTCATCCTATCTCGACCCTAGCTGGCCCCTGAGACATGTGAACACGGGACAGCTAGCCCGTCCCAGCTGAAGTTATGACTCCGTCAGCCCCCAGGGCGGAGCTTGGTCTTCTAGACCAGGCATTTCTTGGGATGCCTCTATGCGAAAGGCAAGTCCTTACTCTGGGGTACAGTAAGATCCATGACCTGCTCGAGGCCCACAGGAAGTTTGCAGGCCAGGCTGTGTCCTGTGTTGCAAGAAAGTGAGGGGGACCCTAGCACTCTGTGAGGGGGTCGTCAGGCAGTCAGAGCGGGTGGGGCCACCAGTGGGCTGGGAAGCCTTCCTGGGAGAGGAATTTTCAAAGGAAGGGAGAGTGTGTGAGGCAGCAGAGGGGACTCCCAGGCAGAGGTGATGCTTGGATAGGAACGAAAAACAGGAGCAAGTGAAGATCAGTGGTGGGGACAGTATCAGAGGAGCCCAGTCTGAAAATTTAAGACTGGTCTTCCACTTTCCACTTCCTGACACGGGGTTGGGCCCATTTTAAAGGCCCCCTAAATAATAATCTTCCATGGCAAATGTCCAGTTTATGATGTCTCTCTGTGCCTTTCTTTTAAAAAAAAATTTAAATAAAGAAACTCTCACTGGAGACAGTTTTTAAAAATAGCCTCTGAGGTGTGTCAGCACAATCTCTACATCTGTAGGCCTCAAGGTAGGAATTGATGTGCATAATAATGTTGCTGAGGGCTGGAGATCCCAAGGGTCTTCTGAATCATCCCCAATTCAAGTCTGCTCTGTCAGGCTTTAGGGTTAAGTATGCACATGAAGCATATTTTGTTGCATTTGCTCATTTCAAAATAGGTGATCACCCCATGAAAAGCACACTTAATTAGAGCAGAATGTTAGACTACTTCCAACACCCCATTTCCTAACCCTCCTGGGTTAGTGGGGGCTAGCTGTGTAGTTTAGGGTCTGGGAAGGCACACATATCCCCGTCTGCATCTAACCCTCACCTGGTGACAGCGTACACACAGGTTATCAGTTGAGGCAGGTGGGCAGGGAAAGGAGACAGCTCTGTGGAGTGACCATGAGTCCAGATGTCCCTCAGACCTGCGACTGACCAGCTCTGGGACCCGTTGGAGAAGTGACCTAACCTCTTCAGCCTCAACTTCTTGATGTGATCGTTGAAGCCCCTTACAAGCCTATAGTGAGAATTAAGTGAGATGAAGGGTGTGGGTCCTGATTGTAGATTTCAGTAAATGGTAGTTATCACCACCCTCCTTGTCCCAGACACTGGCTTGGAACAGTGCCCACTCTGGGTTCCCCACCAACAGCACTGACCTTTTGCTCTGATTTACAGGCGGCTGTCTGGAAACCACCTTTCCCACATTCCAGGACAGGCATTCTCTGGTCTCTACAGCCTGAAAATTCTGTGAGTATAAATGTACCGCACTGTGCGCAGAGGGTGGCCTTGAGCGTGCAGGTTGGCAATTTGGGAGACGGAGCTTTATGCAACCTGAGATTGCTTTGCCTTGCTTATCATCTCCTTATCTTCCGCTTTATATTTTATTTCCATTTCTTTGCTTCCACTTTGTCTATAACAAAATTTTACTGCAACCTCATAGGCAGGTGAAGCTTTTTTTTTTTTTTTTTTCAATGTGAACCATCCAAAAAGGTTTTGGTGGGGCTGAGTTCAGTTACAGACCAGGAGAGGAGGAATCCAGCTTGGCTTTCTCTGACCACTGTTCTTCTGGACACCAGTCTTGGTCTCTGTGCTATAGTTCCAGTTTCATGCTCGCGACAAACGTGGCCGCTCCTCAATCTGCAGGCTTCTTTACCCAGCGCCTTTTGTCTTTTCTCTGACTCGAAAGGCAATTGAGAGCTGGAGAGCTCCTTCACCCAGCCTCCCCTGGCCATCGCACAGATGGTTCATTCTAGAGACCGGAAGGCTGAGGCACCATCTGCTCCCAGCCCAGTGCACAGCTCATCTTGCACCTCCCTCCCCCTGGGAAAGGAGGTGGGGGTGTGGGGGTGCCACCTCTGAAGCTGGGCAGGAGAGGTTCCAGAGGAGGGCCCAGCACCACTGGATGCGTTTTATTGGGGGCAGAGGGGGTAGGGTCTTTGTCGATCCAGGAGCAGAGGAATGAACACTGGAAGTCCTGTCCCGAAAAGCATTTGCTGCCATTTGTCTGCCAGACCCTGCCTTAAGCTCAGGTCACCTTTGCACAGCGGAGCAGGCTGTTGCCTGCACAAGAATACTGCCCAAGGGGGTGGGATGCGAAGAGGCTGAAATTCAGACCTATGCCTGCCCTGGGGTTACAGCCATCTTTTTTTTTTTTTTTTAATAATATAATAGCTTATTTTTACATCATTTTGTGCCTTTTTCCATCTCCGTTGTAACCCCCATACAGCCACCGTTTTCTAATTTGCCAAAGCTGTCTGTGGGCTATCAGTGGTCCTGCCTGCTTGACTTCAGGCTTATGGCCAGCCCTCTGGCCAGCCACACCTGGCACTTTCCCCTTGCTTCACCTTTACCCTTGGCCCTTGACCCTCGGCCCTCAGCGGTCCTCGAGTCTCTGGCTCCCAGGGCTCTCTGCGTGTCCTTCCCTCAGCTCCCTCTGCTCCCTGCCTCTGTCCTTCCCTCAGCTCCCTCTGCTCCCTGCCTCTGTCCCCAGTCTCCGGTCTCCCTCCCTCTCCTTCCTCTTCTCTGCCTCAGGCCTTGCTCCCCCTCTCTCTGCTGCACCCACCTCTGAGTTCTTCCTGCCTCTTCTGGGCCTTGCTCCCCATAAACATCGGCTGCCTGGGGGTGGGAGTGGGGGTGGGGGTGAGGGAGTGGGCGGGCGTCCTGCCCCAGACGTGCAGCTCAGGCGGCCTGCTCGGTGGCGTGTCTGTGCCCAGCGGCAGGCTCAGACCTGCAGCCGGATTAGAGAGCGGGCCCTGCTTGCTGGGCTTCAGAAGATGTGAGACGCACGTTCCGTTCCTAAGACTCCGGCTTAGAGATGAGCCTCCTCTTTCTTCTTTGCCTGCATTAGGCAATAAATCAAAGCCTCGGAGAAACCGCAAGCTTCCCGCCCCCTTTCTGAAAACGGCGCCCTGGGCTCAGTGAGTCCGGCGGCGGGAGAGGCTGCCGGTTGGAGCCCCCTGCTCCGCCAGACTGTCCACTGCCGGCCAGCGGCCTTACTCTGCCCATCCTCAGAGCCCACTTGGCCCCCCAAAGCCTTTGTGTCCTTTCTATGCCTGCAGGGCTCGGCTCCCTGGGGGACGACTTGGGTGGTCTTGGGAAGGTACCCTCTGACTAGGGTCGAGCAGGGCAGCGGATTCCACCTGCTTGCGGGCAGTAAGCGCTTTCTGCCCTGTGAGGCTGTTGTTTCCTGCTGTAGTGTCCGTCGTTGTTGGTTTTTCAGACCCAGAAGAAAGGTAGAGCCGGAACGCCCACCACCAGCACAGTCACCTGGTGCCGGGGACCAGCCCTTAGCTGCCCCAGCCTTCTCTGTGTCTGAGCGCTTATCTGAATGGCCTCCTCCTTTCTTTGAGGCCTGGCTGTCCCTGTGGGACACTCTGCCTCCTTTCTTCCCTCCCAGTGCCAAAGGACAAAAAAGAGGACCCATCTTCTGATCTTGTCCTAAGTGACGGTAGCGGGACTCCCACTTTGGTGCTTCCTCCCCAGCCCCCGCCTGACTGAGGTGAGGCGTGTAGGGATCCTCTCCTCCCTCCATGGGTCCCCAAGGCTTCAAATCCACAAGCTCTGGCCAGACTGGGGTCAAGCAAGCCAGACCCTGCAGGGAGTTCCAGCCACAACCCTTTCTTCAGACAACAGTGGGGATACCCACCTGCACACCTGTGCAGGCCCAGATCCCGGCTCACTGGCCCGTCTGTCTCTGCCCCTGCGGTCCCCAGAAAAGGCGGGGCTCTGAGGGTACCTTCCCTGTGTACCCTCTCAGGGGGCAGCTGTGCCCTGAGCTCCTGCTGCCTGCCCCCAGGAGGCTGTAATCTCCCAGATGGCTTTATCTCACGCAGAGGGTGGAGAAAGAGCAGGTGGCTCAGGTCTAGAGCGTATGGGGGCTTTCACCTCTTTATCTCAGACACCCCTTCCTTCTCACAGGCACCTTTCTCCTCAGCTGTGCTCACAGAGAACAGTGGTTCTGAGCCTTTGCTCTACCTGCGTCAGGTTGGTCTGGCTCTATCCAGAAAGTCTCCCCTCGGGCCTCAGCTGTCTCTTACCTGACCCAGATCTGGGAACCAGGAGGTTGACAGATGCCCACGCTTCCAGGGGCTGGCAGGAGCGTCCCCCTGCTCCTGAATTGAGCCTAGAGTGCTTGGGAGTGTGGTGTGGGATTCCGGGCCTCTGTCACTTGGGAAAGACGGCTCGAGCCGCACCGCTTGCTGCTTCCTGGGTTGGGGCCTGCGCTATCTGGAGTCCTAGCCTGCGGTCCCAGAGGGGTGGAGGGAGGGAGTGGTTCTCTGCCGCCCCTGGAAATCGGCCTGGGTTGGCCTTACGCTCAGCCTCCTCACTCTGGGCTGTGCTGTGTTAGGCTGATGTGGCCTGTGCTTGTTGTCCACTTGGCTGGGCAGCGGCCAGGAGCCCAGAGGCGGGCTGGGCTTGTGTGGATGAGGTGAATTGAACTGGCCCGGAGGAAGAGAGACTCATAAGCCATGAGGGGTGCTGGGCTCTGAACCCCCCTGCCTCGCTCACGAGATATGGCTGCCTTGGCTCCAGGAGCCCACGGAGTGTGGGGCCTTCCTCTTGGGCAGCAAAGTCTGCAGCCTGGTCCTGTCTTGGGTGGACCCCAATATGTCAGGAAACCAGTCTCAAGTGCAGTGAGAAGGCTTGATGCCAGACCAGGCTTCGTCACGTTCCAGAACAGGTGTTAAGGAGGACACCCCGACTTCCTCTCTCTGGGCCTCAGTCTCCTCATCTTTGAAATGAAGATGTTGGAAGAAAGTCTCCAACTGCACTGTTAGCTGCAGAAACTTAAAAACTGAAACAGCTTATGTGGGAGGCCTGGCAGCACCGGGGTGAGTCCTGCCCCCCTCCTGCCCCGGATACCCAGAGATGCCACCACAAGACCAAGAGTGGGGCTTTGTTAGTCACCGGTGGGTCACTTTCTGGAATATTCTGGCTCTAACACTCACGGTTCCTGCCCAGGATGTCTCTGGGTCAGAGGGCTGCTCCCATGTGAGCTTCACACGTGGAGAGGGCATGACCCTGGCTGGGCAGAACCAGCTGCCCTCCCTCTCCTCCCATTAGAGGTATATCCGGCTGCAGGAGCTTGGATAGTGGCAACTTCCCGGGTGATTCTGAAGTGCAGCAGAGCAGAGGTCCAAAAGGCCGATACCTTGCTTCACCAGGCAAAACCTGGGGCAGGGAAAGCGCAGGGAAATCAGCTCAAAAGCTCTGACCCAGGGGTCAGGACTGGGCCCGCAGTCCTGATTCCATCCGTTTGCTTGATCATTTTTGAGCAAGTCACCTCCAGTCTTGAGTCTCCAAATCCTCATTTGGAAAATAGAGGGGCTGTTCCTGCCCAAAGGTGCTTCTGGATTTTATGATCCATTTGTGTTTCTATAAAAAAGTGATGGTCAAAACGACCAGGAACAGCAAGGAAAAGGGCCAGGGCAGAGACCTCTGCTGCGCTGACCTTCAGCTTACAGGGCTTGGATTCCATGAAAGAAAGGGCTCTCTGGGGACCAGCCTGCCTGGCCTGGGGTGCGTTGTCAGGATGTGTAGGATGTGTAGGGGAGGGTCCTGCTTGTAGAGTGACTGGGTGAATCTTTGGGGTCTGGGAAAGGGGGGCACACAGGCGGACTCCCAGGAGCAGCCAGTGCTCCTCCCTGCTGGCCCGAGCATCACTGTGTCCTTGTTCTAAGCACACTGAGGCCTCTGGGTGAGAAGCAAGACAGCGCCGGAGGTCTTAGGAAGAAGCCAGGCAGAAGGGGTCAGAGCACCAAGCAGGGTGCCGGGCAGGCGGCCCTGTCCTGGCGGGTCACAGCTGAGTGGTTTAATGCCTCCTCAGTTGCCTTTTTCTTTGAGGGGAGGGAATTGAGGCCCAGAGAGGTGAAGGGACTTATCCAAGTAATCCAGTGTGTGGTGAAACTGAGACCTGATATTAATCATTAGTAGTTCAGCTAATAGGTCGCCAAGCTTTTCAGACTTTGTGTGAGACATCGCTGAGAGTTCTGTACAGAGCTTTTCAGATTTAATCCATACTATCATCAGATGCGGTCAATGTCGTTTACCCCAGTTTACAGACTGAGCCAAGACCCACAGAGTTTAAGTATGTTGCATGACGTTACACGGCTGGAAGGGGACATTGCTGAGGGTACAAGCGTCCCTGGAGGGAGCAGTGGGGGCCGAGAGACCTGTAGGCACACAAGGTGAGCCCAGGAAGGACCCTGGGTGCTCCCCATCCTTGCAGCCCAGGCTGCCTTTGGGGGTGTTCATCCACCCCCAGAACAGGGGGTGGGCAGGGAGGACGCCGGTGCCCCTGTCTGTCTCTCCATCCCCTGCCTCGATTTTGCCTCCACCAGGGGCTCCCTCAGTGCTCACCCCCTACTCCCCTGAACCCAGCATTCATTGGTTCTCAAGATGTTCTGGTTTTGTTCACGTCTGGAATTTTCTCAGGTTCATACAGAGTCTGAGAGTGATAGCAGGGGGACTCTGACCAAGACAGTCACGCAGGACGCCTCAGTCACTACTTAGGTGGCTTCACCTGCCGGAGGCTGGCGGTGGCCCTGGGACTCTGCCGGGCCCTCTGGTGTCGATGCTTGTGAAGCTCCAAGACTGGCACCAGGCACGCTGGCTGCCGTTGTGACTAAGCTCAGACTAGGAAATGTTCTGCTTCTCCCGAAGCACAGCGGACGTGCAGTGTGGCTGCGTGACCTTGGGCCGAAGCATCCCGTAGCTTCCCCTCTGAGAGCTGGGCTGACGATCCACCCTGAACAAGAGAGGGTGACACACCTGCACACAGTAGGGTTAGCTCAACGCTCCCCCCCCCCATCCCGAGGAGCCGCTCCTGGGTTCTGCAGGCCCAGGCGCATCCAGAACACCTGCTTCGCAGGCAGTGGGAGTCTGGCGGGGGCTCCCACTCTCCTGGGGCAGTTGGCGGCTTCCTTCCGGCTTCCCACTATCCCATGAAATCCCGGTGCCCTTCTGCTGTGCCCTCCAACTGCCTTCTGACTCCTCCTATCTGGGCGCAGTCTAGAGGCCTACAGGTAAGGGGGTTCAGCTGCCCCTGCAGTCCTGCCCATTTCTTCACCCACTTCCTTCCTTACAACCAGGTAGGCAGGACTCCCCCTCAGGCTTCTGTTTTGAAGGGATCCACTGTGCTCTGGCGTGTCCACCTCAAAAATTTCTAGCACCCTCTCTGGGCCCTGGGATAGCTGGTGTCAGTGGTGATGCTGGAGAGGCACCCCAGGCCCTCATTCCCCCCTTCTGTGTGTGTGTGTGTGTGCTGACTACCTACCCTCACGCAGGGTTTTCCAGGAGCCCTGATATGCTCAGGCGCTGTGGCTTGGCTGCTTCTGGGAGAGCAGCCGACAGGCAGCGGGGATGGCTGATGACCTTTTTCTGTGGGACCATATGAGATCGGCTGTCAGGATGGTGCTGCCCCGACCCTAGTGCCTCGAATCATTTCTACAGACAGGGTGCCACAAAATCACCTTTGCTGAGGGCTCTGCCACCCTAGAGACGCCTTGACCTCATCCACATCCTTTTTCCCCCCAATAAACTTCATTCAGCTCCACAGCTGCACATTCAGGGAAACTGAGGCCTGGGGGAAAACACCTACCTTTCTGCATGTTCTTCCTGAGCTCACTGCCAGAATCACAAATGTTTGCTTTCTGGCCTTTGCTGCGTCCCAGAGGTCTTGTCTGTCTCTTCTCCACGGTTCTCTTCTGCCCTCCCTTCCAGGGTGTGCTGTCCCATGCACAGCCGAAGCCCAGGTCCCCACCAAGGGGCTGGAGGGGGGTGTGGTGCTGGAGCTAAACTCTCTCTCAAGCTGGGGCAAGAGGGAGGGATCTGGCATGAGGCAGGGGGTTCAAGGCAGGACCCCCAGGTCTACACGTCTCGTGGGTCCTGAAAGCCCTCTCTCCCTTACAGGATGCTGCAGAACAACCAGCTAGGAGGGATTCCCGCAGAGGCGCTGTGGGATCTGCCGAGCCTGCAGTCTCTGTGAGTCACTGGAGGGCCCGGGCTTGGGAGCCAGCTTCCTGGGGCCTGAGTCACAACCCCAGGCCCCCCACCTCGGCTTCTTTCCTTGCTGGGCCCCCCTTCCTCACTCCATGTTCCCAGACAGTATGCGGCTCCTGGCTTTGGTTTCTTTGGGTTTGTTTTTTTGTTGTCATTGTCAGTGTGTGTATGTGCACACTCACGTGTGTATTTTGGGGAAGGAGAACTCCAAGCCCTTGCCGGAGGATGTGGGAATGGGACCTCCCTAGGTGAGGCCACCAGGACAGCGGTCCTGGGGTGTCTGGTGTTCTGCCATAATGCCTGGGGTGAGGGTTGGGGATTGCCACCCCAAAGAAGCATCAGGAAGGGGCTGTCTCCTCCACCTAGTCTGCTGTATCTCCTCAGGGCTTGGGCGTGGGGCTCAGACACCCATTTCCCCGACTTGGGGTGGGACTGCATTCTGGGACTCACTGGCCACCCATGACAAATCCATCCCTCTGAGGGGCCCTGCAGTTCCTCTTCTGCCCAGTAGGGGCGTCGTGAACATAAGGTGGCGCCCCAGACTGGAAGCAGGAACAACTACTGACAGGTGGTTTCACACAGCCCACTGATTGTTGGGGACCATCCATATCAGGGGGCCCGGAACACGTTAGGTGCCTTATTATTTCATGCTTGTCAACTCATTTGAATTTTCTATCTATGGGAAAACAGGTATTTGGGGAGAAATCAAATTTAAGAGTCAGGACTGGACCTAACAGTGAGCCAGTGGGGGAATGGAGGCTTAGTGCAGTGTGCGGGACAAAGGCTTCTGGTGCCCTCGGTCCTGCCATTACCCCTGCAGTCCGTGGGGGTGGAAGTCTTCTCAGGTGGAAGTTTGAAAAGGAGGCAAGGGAGGCAGTTTCCTCGTCGGGACCTACATTCAGCCCCTCCCGCGCCCTAAATGAAGAAGCCCGGCCTGGGGAGGCTGGCTACCTAGCGGTGCCACAGCCACTCACACTGGGCTCTCCTCCCTGGCCCTGAGCTGCACACCCGCTTCGGCCGCATCTGTGGCTGCACCCCAACGCCCCCCAGCTGTCTGGCCCCAGTGGCAGGCCTGCCCTGCCTTCCCTCACTGGCTCACATGTCCACCCTCCATCCTGACAGGCGCGGGGCCGCTGGTCCCAGCCACATCCTCTCCTTCCATCTGGTGTCAGGGAACAAGGCAAGAGACCCAGGCTGCCCCTGGGGCCACCGTCACAAGATCAAAGGCTAGGAAAGCCTGGCTAGCTCTGTACCTCCAAGCACTGACTAGCATCTACTTAGGGCACAGCAAAGGGGGGCAGCCAAAAAGGGGAGAGAGGGCAGAATCTGACACTCTATGCAAAGCATCAAAGAGGTCTTCACCAGGGAAAAATTATACTTTTATTGACCTGCACTCTTATTTTAAGCTTATTTTAAAAATTGTGAATCACATCTGTTGCATTAGGGATTCCAAAGGTCTTGTCTTTTAGGTGGACAGGGAATGTTCAGGCCATGCAGGAAGTTTCCCCTGTGCTTTCTAAGGAGCAGCAGCCTCTGCAGCCGGGAGAGCTAGATAATTAGTCTTCCCCACAGTAGATCACCACTCTGAGGCAGAAAACTTGGCTTTGAGTCCTGGCTCTGATCCTGACTGATCAGCAGCTCCGTGCCTCAGTTTCCCTATCTTCAATTTGGGGAGGCCCTCTCCTCTGCCTATCTCACAGTATTGATTATTGTCATGAAGATCAAATATATACAGTAAATGTGTGAGTAATTCAATCAAAGAAGCTCAGCTAGGGAGTGCAGTGATGACGCTATGATCTTGTTCATTTACTAAGCACTGACCCATTCATTTTACATACATTTTGAGGCTTTGCTGGAAAACAAAATCTAAGTTGCACCTTGAAGGATTTGCGAGTGCCCATCAGGTGAAGAGGCCAGAGAACATTCGAGGCAGAGAGAACAGCTCATGCAAAGACACAGTTAGGAAGGAAATGAGATGCTTTCCTAGAACCAAATTCCAGAAATGTCCCACTAGCAGTAGGACTCTCTACTGACTGGATGGGGCTGAGGAAGAGGAAGATTCAAACTGATAGCCAGTTTTCTGGGTTCATCACCCATCTGAAGGTTCTCTTTGGGAAGATCATGATTCTGAGCTTGGAATCTGGGACCTCAAAGACTTGCAAAGAGGTCAGTGTGTGTGTGTGTGTGTGTGTGTGTGTGTGTGTGTGTGTCTGCGCACACATGCTCATGTGCATGCATTGGGGGAAGAGCAGTTGCAGAGAGATTTGGGATTGGTGAAGATTACTTTGGTAGTGGGCCCTCCCTGGTGGCGTAGTGGGTTGGAGCACTGCATTATGAAGCTCTCCAAAGCCACTATAGTACAAGTTCGATCCCTGGCCAGAGAGGTGACCCACATGGCGCGGCAGACCTCTCCTGACCTACCTGCTGCTCCCCTCAGCAGTGTATTTCAGTACATCTGTCTATTCTGCTCCCCACTCTGTCGCTGGTGAACCCTCTCACCCACCACACCTCTGGCCTGTGCCCCAGTTCTGTAAGCATAAATGAATAAATCTTAAAAATATATACATAAAAAAATTACTTTGGTAGCAACTATGAAGGACAACATGGAGGAGGGGGCTTGTGAAAGGGCTGGCTGGTGGCCAAAGGGAAGCAGTGGGAAGAGGAGAAGCTGATGGGCTTAGAAATACCAAGGAGTCACATTGTCAGGCTCCAGAGTTTGACATCCTGGGCACAGACCTTGGCTTCTTCACTTACTGCTGCAAGACCGTGGCCATGTGACTGAACTTCTGGCTTCTGTTTCTTTTTCAGTAAAACGGAGGTGATAATTGTCCCTCTGTACCTTCATGGGTAAAATGAAGTGGAAGATTTGATCTAGTACTATTAGTTGTTACTACCACAGTTATTACACCAGCTGTGGGACCTTCTATTGGCTGGTGGGGCTGAGGAAGAGTCAAACTGATAGTTTTCCTGGCTCATCACCAACCTTGAAGGTTCTCTTTGAGAATCTTGGGGCCTCAAAGTGAGACTCTTCTACCTACCTCAGGTCCCTCCATCTCAGGCGGTGACAGTAAACCAGGTCCAGGTGTGGCTGGGCAGGAGAGGCTAGTTACCATGACAACTGCTGAGTTCCCCAGGTGCCGGCGTGACGCGTTTTACAGTATTATATTATTTCACCGTCACACAGATGCTGTCTCTGCCCCTGTCAGGGGCTTGGATGAGCTTGGGAGGGTCAGATGTAGTGAGGGGAGGAGGCAGGGCTACCCCCTTGTGTGTTGGGGCCCAAAGGTTGCCCCCCTTCCCTCATGGCTATTGGGAGTCACGTTTGTTGGCCCGCAACAGAGGGCCTTCTCCTTTCCGTCCGGGGCTGATCACTACATAGAAATTTCCTCCTTCCTGTTGGAATGCAGGGGTCAAGGAGGTAACTGGGGGACCCATCCCTGCCCGAGCCCCTCCTGGGGGCAGTTTGAGCCCCCACCTTGGGGTCGGGTCCCTGGAGATGGCTGTTTCTCACCTCTGCAGGGGAGGACTCTGCACAGACCCTTCTGGACCCTCGTGCACCCCACAGAGGGCTCAGTCCCGTGGCCACTTTTACCTGCTAGACTCAGATACTGGGGCAGGAGGAAGTGGGTCCGGTGAGTCAGAGGAGTGGCTATGGGTGAGACAGGGGGCTTCGGTGCCGGCTGTTTGGCTTGGCACCTGGGTGGACAGCACCCAGCTCCACAACACCCCTCCCTAGATACACTTGCTTCCTCCCTAACCAGTGTGGGAGGGAGAGGGTGGCCATGCCAGACGTGTAGTGCCAGGCTTGAGTCAAGGCCAAGAGAAACCACGGGAAGCCAGTGGAGCCTGGGGGAAAATAGAAACTGGGTGGGGGTGGGGTAGCACAAGGGGGTGGTCATGGAAAAGCAGCAAAACAGCTCAGAAGACCTCAGGAGAGGCCGGGTGGGGCCAGAGTAGTTCAGGCTGCCTGGTCCCGGCAAAGAGTCAGAAAAGCAGTGGCAGGAATAAAGGGGAGCAAACAGAAAAACAGCCCAATCCTGGGCACCCCATGGGGAGAAACGCATGATTGCAAAGGACAGCCACATGAAACCTGTCAACATCGGGCCAGTGGGGGAGTTAATCAAGAGCAGCACCCGACTCCAAACAGAAACCCAAATTGGAATCACCACAAGCCTCTGGCCCGAGCCAGCCATCTGAAACACACTGGCTGCCTGCTGCTGGGGAGAGACAGCGAGATGGAGAAGTCAGGGTAGAAGTGGGGTGTGCCTGAGCCCCTGGGAGGCAGTGGGGAAGGGAGCCCACTTACACACTTCAAAATCCTAAGCTCATGTTTCACTTTATCCTGAAAGCTTCTATCATTCCTCTTATAGATGAGGCAACTTAAGAGCCCAGAGAAGTTAAGTCACTTGTCCAAGACCACACAGCGAGGATGTAGCCACCCTGGGAGTCTGATCTCTGGCTCCAAGGTGCTGTGCTCCTGACCTCTGTTCCTCCATGCTGTGAAGCCATAGGGCTTTAGAGCTCAAGTCTGAGCTGTGTCACTAAGAGGCTGTGAGCAAGTCACACCCCCCGCCCCCAAGCCTAAGAGTCAGAGGGTGCCATTTCTACAGTGGGAGAGTCCAATGAGATGACTGGCAGACAGGAGACCCCAGGGGAAGGATGTCCTTGGTTTTTCTCTGTTCAGTGGAACAGAGCCTCCTAGAATTACTCTGGTTTCCTATGAATCCAAGCCATGAGATGAGGAGGAGGGACCCCATTTTCTTCAGGAGAAAATGGCTACACCTGCCCAGTGTCATGAAGGCAAGGACCAGAATGTTCTGAGGGATGGCCGAAAGCAAGGGGCTTCTGAAGAGAGTCCCTCACGCACACGGCTGACCCATCCACCTCTGTTGGCTGCCTGGCTCCTCGTGCCACGCCACTGTGATGTGTCTCGCCTCCTGTGGCTGCCTCCCCCTGGCACCCTTGTGTGGGGGAGATTGTAG